TACTTACATACTAATATTTTTTTTTAATTATTATTATATATACACACAGACAAATACTCATAAAAATAAATATATACACACATAATAATGAAAATAAAAACAACATATACACCCAGTAAAGTAGTAAATATTATTCTTCTACACCACAGAGAGGGGAGAGCTCGCTGTGTAGACTAGCATACCTCGCCTTGGATCTTGGGCTTCTCTTTTTCCCCCAGTAAGCCGGTACAAGAAGCGCTCTCTGACTGCTTCTCCATCCCGGGTATAGGAGGTAGAGGAAGCAACGTGTGCCGGTTATAGAAGAAATAAGTCCAGGAATAGAGGAATGTGAAGAGAAGCTCGGGATACCGGCGCTCCCTGTCGTCTTTCTATGCCTGTGGCAGATGAATGAAATGAGGCCGGGCAGCCCGGGTTCCAGTCACGCCCACACAAAATGCAGAGCATCTATTACGTGTGAGGAGAGGAGAGCAGAGCAGCCCTCTGTGACACCACACCCCCCTTTACTACAACTGTGCATGCTACTTCCTTCTCTGACTTCTGTGTGTGAGCTACAGGCTACAGCAGAACACAAGGGGCTGCACTACATCTGCTGATAGCCACACCCAAGTCATTCCTCAGAAACATTACAACACTGACAGCTAACAAGAAAAGGAGTACAAGTTACATTTCTAGGGAAGCTTTCAAAAAACCTTATATTACACACAGTGCCATATGCCGCTATTCCAGGGGTGGGCAACACCAGCCCTCCAGCTGTGCTTTAAAGTGATATTAAAGTGACAATAAACTAACAAAATCATTCAAGTACCCTATTAACAAAAATGTCTCTTGTTTATCATTCGGCTGTAGACCCTCAAATCATCTCTGAATTGGTGCTGACACTGTCCTTCCTTCTGGAGGGGGGCTACTTTTGTTCCCCATGGTCCCTGTGTGTGTTGTAAAGTAGTCGCCACTCCAAGCTCACTCCTGTGATGGACTACAATCTCACATTTAGTTTCCTAATTTGTATTGAGTTTGTAGTCCACATAGGAATGTGCAGCCTATTGCATTAGGGTGTGCACACAAATGTACAAAGACACACACAGATATATATATATATATATATATATATATATATATATATATATATATATATCCAGATATATATATATATATATATATATA